ATTACCTTGGAAATGAGATCTGGTACCTCTCAGCTCCTTGTAGCCCGTGTGATATTCAAACCTGGCTGTTAGCATGTGTATGATCATTTCAGTTTACATCTCGGTCACAAGTCAATTCTAGGCGCTTGCTGAAGACACCAGGAACGCAGCTTATCAGGTATTGGGCACAACTGTCCTTATCCTGCACTGCAGGGCATCTTCCCAGCTGGTGTCAAAGTTCTTCAAGGCAGGGACTGGGTCTTCTTCTATCTGTTCAGGAACGCAGTCCTCCGAAGTGTGTATTCCCAGTACTATGGGTCAAGACCTGAGTGCTGGGGAGCCTGACCACCTTCCCAGTTTGCTCTCAAGTAAGATGTGGGTGAATAGGTGTGAAAGCTCAGCCTTTGAGGCATTATTATGTTATTAAAAATGCTGTCCCTGATGCTCTCAATTCCTTGGAGCTTCTCAAAACTTTGGGGGGTGGTTCTGACAAGCAGTACATTGCAAACACTGAGTGCACTGCTGGGAGCACTCTGCTACCAGAACAGCAGCCGTATGCCATGCTGGCAATGCCCAAAATCTTCCTGAGCAGCTGGGCTCTGGGCATGGGAAAGAGGAGGCGCATCTCTGGATACTCTCAAGGGCTACGCAGCTCGTCCCAGTTTTAAGACTGTAGTTTGCTCCTACTCCCAGCAGCCCCAGGGAGTCTGGTTCCTCGTGTGACAGGTCTTGTTTCGACGTGCTGAAAATTCAGGCTAAAGCCTCATGTACATTTGCAGGCTTGTGCCTGTCGCCTGTGGACGGTTGCACTAGAGAAGTTGTTCTGATACAACTTTCAGTTAGCACTACAGATTCAACTGCTACAGCTTTAATGGTGTGAGCCCTAGCGGCAGCATCAGTTGCAGCACAGGAGAAGTAATTTCATTAGGTCTATATACTGTTTTGGAGGAAGTGAAAATTCACCATTCACATGGTGGACCTAGAACTGCTGCTTTAATTATACCAATCTAATTAAAGCAGCAAAAGCCTATTGTAGGAAAGACGATTCATTGTCATACTGGTTCTAGACTGGTGCAACTTGAGTTAGAATTATACTCCTTTGAGGCCAGATTTTTATTGCATTGCCACTTCTCACTGAGCCATGTTGGGAGTAAAGGTCTTAAAAGAAAGACTTTTGAAGTTCTGCTTTCTAAAGAAAATCTAGTTCTTCAGTCCTTTTTTATACCAGTTACAGTAGTTTCATTTGACTGAGCCAATTTTGCCTAGTCAGAGTTTATTTCTGATGATAAGCCAAGGCTTCTCTTTCCATTAGGTGCACTCAATGGATTTTGACGACACGTGGCATCCAGCCACACACCCATCCGGGGCTGTGCTCCCTGCCGTGATTGCACTCTCGGAGGCCTTTCCTCAGAAGAAAAAAATCTCAGGTCTCAATCTGCTTTTAGCTTTCAATGTGGGAATCGAAGTGCAAGGCAGGCTGCTGCGCTTCTCCAGCGAAGCCAGGAATATTCCAAAGAGGTAAATAGAAATGCTTCAAGTAGAAAGTTGAGTGGAAGGGTTTTTTTCTCAGTGTTAATATACTTATTTAAATGCCAGTTAAAATACAAATGGCACAGTTAATCATATTTTCTATGTATGATGTTGTTTGTCTGGAAATTTAGGAAAGGTTCATCTCAAACATAAATACACTTACATGACTCCTTACGGCTTAGCTAATAGATGTCTTTTTGAGAGCATTGATTAGTTTACAAGAAGGAGGTGATTATCTCCCTATTTATTAAAAACAGCAGCAAAAGGACAACGTTTAACAGCAGAGGTCTCAGGCTTCCATGAATACATACGATCATGCCTCACTTGGAAACAGTGGCTTGCTCTCAGCAGAAAGGAGTCACCAGTGCTGGGCTCAGAGCAGAGCCCAAGAAGACGGGGTGTGATTAGGGGAAAGCCTTGAAGTGTGGGATGGACTAAATGTCCTCCTGCTATTTTCTGTGTGTTCCTTCTACCGATTTTGCAAAACTGGTTCAGAATAACAAAATTTGCTTCCCCCAATATGTAAAATTTATAGATGACTATAAATTATTTACAGATAATTTATAGATGACTATAAACTGTGACACTTTTGCCATTATTCTGTTCAGTATGCCTTGAACTATGAGCAGTTCTAATATTTCAATTGCTTTCTGGGGAGCACCTATTGTAAGTGGTACTATTCCAGTTTAACTTGTTCCTGGGGAAAAGCGACAACCTTTTCCGTTAGGACCGCACATGGATTCTGAATGTATGTTTCTTTATGGCCCAATCCGTTTTCCACAGCAGTGAAAGGAAATTGGAGCTTGTGTATATAGTGAATTCAGGTGACTTTTTGAAATATGGTAATGAAGAGATTTTGTTTTCTCAGGTTTCACCCACCGACTGTGGTTGGTACAATGGGGAGTGCAGCAGCTTGTGCTAAACTGCTAGCTCTTGACCAGCTGAAATGTAAAAACGCCTTGGCTATTGCTGCCTCCTATGCAGGTGCCCCACTGGCTAACGCAGCAACCCAAACAAAGCCCCTCCATGTTGGCAATGCTGCCAAGCATGGACTGGAAGCAGCTTGCTTAGCATCACAGGGCCTTCAAGGAAACAAACAGATCTTGGACATGGAGTCGGGGATAGGTGCCTTTTATACAGATTACAACCCACAGGCTCTGCCAACCTTGCAGTCCTATCCCTGGCTGTTGGACCAGCAAGATGTGGCCATCAAACGCTTTCCTGCTCATCTTGGAACGCACTGGGTGGCTGATGCAGCATCCTCTGTTAGGAGGAAGCTTGTGGAGAGCAGTGACAACTTGCTCCCCCTTGATAAAATTGAGAAAGTCATTCTCAAAGTCCCAGAGGTCAAATATGTGAACAGACACAGCCCAACCTCAGAGCATGAAGCTCGACACTCCTTCCAGTTTGTTGCATGCTCTGCTTTGCTGGATGGCAGCATGTCGGTCCAGTCCTTTGCCAGTGAGAACGTTCACCGGCCAGCCTTGCGGGAGCTCCTCTGCAAAACACAGCTGGAGCACCCTCCTGATAACACACCTAGCTTTGAGAGTCTTTACTGCGAAGTCAGTGTCATACTTCGGGACGGCAACACGATCAGCGACCGCTGTGATACATTCTATGGCCACTGGAGGAAACCTCTGAAAAAGGAGGACTTGGAGAAAAAGTTTCAATCCAATGCCTCCAGCGTCCTGCCTGCAGAAGCCACAGAAGGCATTATAGAGACAGTGTACAATCTGGAAAAAGTAGAGGACTGTTCTGTATTAAGTACATTTTTGTCAGGACAGTCAGCTAGAGCGCTTTCGGAGAAGCTGCGCTTCCTTTGAATGTTCCAACCAACAGCTAGACGCTGTTCACAAAGCAAACACAGAATTCAGGACAAACTCTTATTTAGTGACTCAAGCACTTTTAAATAGGACTCCTGTAACAGAAGAGCCATGCTCAGTCCAATATTGTGTTTTTTGACTAAGTAAATAATTTAGCGATTATGGGCACAGCTCAGTCAGGCTGAACGTAAGATCCTCTGCTGGCACAGTTGACTTCCAATTATCTTTATACCTCTAGGGGCAGAGCACTGCTTGCGTGCGACACAAAAATTTCCCTGCCAAAAATGTCTGTATGTTCTGCTTCTGCTAAATAACTCCATACAGGAAACCCAAATTTTGGAGGAGTGTGGAAATGCTGTGTCCGTGAGAAACATCACTGTGAGAAGGACAGAGAATAAAAGCCTTTATATATTTATTTCTGTAGATTTAGCTCTAAAGCCTCCTTGAAGAGGCCACCTGTTACATCTGAGCTTTGACGTTTGTGCTAAAATAAACACGGCACACATACAGAGTAGTAGCACTTGACACTCTGCAACACGCCAGGCTTCGCTGTAACGATTGGTCTTGCACTGATGAGGTAAAAGTTAGTGCCCTTCCTGATCGTACCAGCTGCTGAGCAAGAGGGACAACTCAACACTCCGTGTCATAAAAGTGTTATTTCCCAGTTCCACCTTTTGGCTGCACTGTGGTACAGGTTTGTTCCTGCTGTATTCCCGCTCCAGCTACAAGGCGCTCGCTCAACAAGACATGATTAGCACTAATTAGCGATGACACGTTTAGATTACTTCGGGCACTGCAAAGCATGGGCTACAGTACACTCGTCGTGACTGACGAGAGACCTGTGAGCATCAGAACACTTCTTACACTGAGACAATTAAGTGTCCACAGTGACAATCAACTTACCTTGATAATGAATTCTGGGAATTTTTAGTTCCTTCAGTACAAAGCCTTGCCAGACTGTGCTTCTAAGAAAGGCTGACGATCTTTGTTTACATTTGTAAGATCAAAGCACGTGTTCTAACATATATAAAATGTACCTTCCTTAGGGCACTAAACTATGTGTGCAAAAAAATCACAAAATAAAGCTAATTCATTTTACCAACTAAACCTCAAATTATTTCATTTGTTAGAGCAAAACTTGTGTGTTTTCCACATACAATGTATTCATTTGTACTTAAGCCTCTGACTCTTGGTTTATAAAGTCGGTTTATCTAGGGGGCTCTGCAAAAATTTCAGAAGTCCATTAGTTATACTTGCTTAAAGACATGCAAGGGAAGAAAAAAAAAACCCAAATAACCACATTCGTTTCTTTTTCCCTTCTTATTAAGAAGTAGAATTGAATTACTCACCTATGCTGAAGCTATACAGACTCATTTACAGCTATTTCATCTGTAATTATAGCTGGGTAACACCAAATGTGAATTACTGATAATCATTGGTGATGTGATAAAACCCCGTTGGACAAGGAGGGTTCCTACATTATCTTATCAAGACTGAACACATTCAGATTAATGAGAAAAAAAAAGGGAACCCCGCCCCCCCACCATCACCACAACAACCTTCAACACATGCTTTCTATTTTAAAAGAGAAATAAATAGGATAAACTTAGCAATAACCATTTGATGTATTACAGATTAAAAAAAAAAAAAACAACAAAACAAGAACTGTGAAGGTTAATAGTTGCATTATTTTATTACTACAATCAAAGGAAACTAAATGCTCATGCTTAGCTAAACTGATTTCCTTGCAGAAGTCTGCATGCTTCCAGTCAGGCAAGTTTCAGGACTTCTTGTACCATTGTTCCAATTCCATCAAAGATTTCATGCAGAGGAGCCTTGCACATGAAAGCACAGGTAGTAACTATTTTATTGGCTTTATCCACATGGGATTCATTTACATTTTTGCAAATGTGCTTACATCCAAGCTCTGCTATAGCAGATGCCGTTTCAGCATCAGGAAATCTGTAAATAAAAAGACTGTAATTAACATAAAGAGATGATACAGCCATAAAGTTCTGCCAGCATAGCTTGAACGAGAGAACTACAAGAATATTTAAGTGACTCTTTAGCCGATGATGATGACAAGGGAGTCAAACAGACTGCCACTGTGAGGTTCTCCCATCCCCTATGGACACAAGTGATCTGCTACCTTTGAAAACAAAGCTGAAACGCAGAGCCACGATATGTCAGAAGGTACGATTCTGTTTTTAACAATCTTTCAATAAGTTTACAAGATGATACCAAGTGCAGCCATAACAGATCCTCAAAAGTTTGAGAGATGCCAGCTGAACTTGCAGACACATTAGACCTTTTCCAACACCTCCATATAAGGTCTTCCACTGGGATTCTGCAAATTTTTTTTTTCCTGAGGATAAGGCAGGAACAGGGGGGTGGAAGCAATCCCTCACTACTGCTGCTGATGATAGGAAATTCCATTCAGAAGTTTTATTGGGAGTTGACAGTCCTTGAAGCAGCACTGACTTCTGCCTCCCCTAAACTGGCCCAAAACCACTACCACCAGAAAAACTTTATTAAAAATCTCTGAACAGACAAAACCCCACAGATGCAATTTAAACGGCCACTCAAATTACCACAGGGTACCAAATTTCTGAAGGCCAGCTGGCCAGATGCCTGTTCTTCATTTGCACATTTGCAACATGAATCATGGCCAAGCAAATTCTGTATCTCACTTAATATGAGGTAAGATCTATCACTCAATTACCATGAATGTAACACGAGAAAATAACTTCATATCCTTGGTCACCTGCGTGTTTGCAGAGGCAGGATTCTGTAGAAGTCTCTTTGTTCTGTCACTTTTAGGACTGATGGATGCTACATCCAGTGACTCATTAGCACTCACGCAGCACAATAAAGCCAGGGCAGGAACCTGTGTTACCTTCGGTGGCTCAGAGTGACAGCTTAGGCAGGAGATAAGACTAGCTAGAGTTTTCATGTGGTTAATTGTAATGTGTCTGTGGATGTTGATATCATAGAACATATCACAGACCAATGTATTTCTGAATTTAGGGATAAATAGTTCCAACGCTGTAGCGCACAAATCACCTGACCTCACAGGTTCAGTCTGTCTGCCCTGAGAGTTCCGTGCCTGCTATTACCGTGCAAGTGAAAATTTGAAATAAGTGAAAAACGTCACTAGTAAGTCACCCAAAAGTTACTGGCACCAGAGACCTCAGACTTTTGCACAATAGACTGTCCATTTCCTAATCCTAATTCCCATGTAAATTATCTCCATCCATTTCCTTCTTACCTCCCATCTACGTTTTTATCTTGGCCGACCGTGACCTCACAACCAGGAAAGACTTTCGCTGCCAGGACTGGCGATATACAGCACAAACCAATGGGCTTTTTAGCACTGTGGAAAGCTTGGAGTGTGGACCTCACGTGCTCATTGACAGTGCAGTTCTTGCCGTCTACAGCCCAGGAACACAGGTTCTTTGCTACACCAAAACCACCTAAAAAAAAAACCCAAAAAAACAAAAGCTCAAATATAAGACACTGCTAAAAGCCATTAAATTCAATACCAGAAAGAAGTTCTCCTTTTTTACAATATAATCATGGCATACGTAGGACTGTTAAGTTACTATACTGAAAGCTTTCAGCACATGAAACGTGATGGGTTTATAATGTTAAAGTTTAACTGCAAATTTTTTTATACCACGTTACGTAGGCCACAAAGCTTAATCTTGCTTCAATGAGTAACAAATAGAGAAATAGGAAACCTCACATTCATTTGCTAGTGACTGGAAAAGCTGCACCATCTGATATGCACCCCTTGATAAGCAAGGGCGGGATTAGAAGAAAGGCCAATGATAGTTAAAGGTAGAAAGTGCAGTTCACGAGAGTAATGCAAACAGTGGTTTGACCCTCTACAGTAATTTCACTCTCAAGTTTTAGTTCAATACTTAAACAATTACAAGAGAGCTTCTTCCCCACCTAGAATTCTTTTTGGACTTAAAAAAATAAAGGTTAACACAATAACAACAAAATGGATATTACATAAAAAGGAATTGATAACATATGATATTCTGAGACGTAGCACTTGTGAATGATAACATAATTTCCTATTAAAAATAATGCTGAATTTGTCTTTCTAGAAATTAGTTAGAACAATCCTTTACTTGCATTTAATCTTCGTTTAATTGTACAAGCAGATCATATTTTACAGCACCTTCATTTGCTGGATTTATAACCATCTGAATAATCAAAGTAAGAAGGTTATTAGTAAGTGTAACCATCCGTTATATTTGATTCCTTATGGAATGTGCACAACATCAACTTTTCTACACTAAACAAACAGAAATTTCCACAAGTATTTCAACAGACAACATCAAGAAACTTTGCATTTTTAATATTTTTCCTTTCACTCTCACTTTCAAGTGTTATCTGCAATCTCTGAGGTAAGATTTTAATTTTCAAACTTAATAGGGTTTATTTCCCTCTAACAGTTATTACAGCAACCCCCCTGAGCCTGGGTTATAACAGCATGAAATTAACGTGGAAAATACTTGCTAGCGTTTACTCCCTGATCAGCCCTGATGTCACCCACTCATTTCAGTGCTGCAGGTATGTTTCTCTGCGTTATACACACACTCCCTCTGCTGGCCTCACAACAGAAGACAGTGTAACGACTTCAAAATTAACGCTTAGGCACAATCGTGAAGGCAATATTTAACAGTATGATGAATACTCTGGAAAGTGATCTTCAGCAAGTCATAATTTCCTCGTGACGCTTTGGTTTCTTCATTTCTAAAGTGACTACAATTACCTCTGTCTGAAAGGCAATTTTGCAGTCTATGTTTATGGATAATTTTTTATTTAGTATAACTCGATCAGCAGCAGACCAGATACTTAATTAAAACAAAATGTACTCACATCTGACAGGGAATATAATCTACTTGGCAACCTACTATTCTGCCAACAATTTAAGAGGCCCTAAAAATAAGGCATTTCCATATAACGTCAAGTTCTGGCCTTACTTTTCTAACCCGGTCAGTGTTCCTGTCCACAAGTAGGTATTAAAGTTTTCACAATCTTTAAAAAGAAGGAATGGTGCGATGTATGACCTAACACCAAAAGAACACTGGCATTTTAAATTAATGAACTATAAATTAATAAATAAACTGAGATGACTTGTAAGCCCATGAGAGCTCGCTAAAACATTTTCTCATCCTCAAAAGAAAATAGGTAAGTAAAAAAGAAAAAAACCCATATACCTCTCAAATTCAAGAGTATAATTTAGTCTCTAAATGTATTTAAAAATAAAAAAGTAGCGGAGGCAAAGCAGTTATTTGCAATTGAAAAACCACTAATTATTTTCTTTTAAAAGCATTTACCAGGGAAAATGACTGCATCGAATTCACTAGCTTTCAGTTCAGCCAAATCCTGAATGTTTCCTCTGGCCAATCTGGCACTTTCAACTAACACGTTTCTCTTCTCTTCTGTTGGACTTCCTTTTAGGTGATTGACTACATCCCTTTGCTCAATACTGGGGGCAAATATCTTCACCTAGAATATAGAGATGAAGCAATTTTGTGAACGTAAACAGAACTCATACATATCAGTCACGATAAAGATCATTTAATGAAAACAGGTTTTGTTCCTGATGTCTCTTACCCAAGAGAAGTGGACTCCACAGGATGGATCTATTGTATTAAATATCTAAAGCGACAGGTGACATATCAGGATGGGTAAACCCATCCATCCTCCCCATCCTATTCCTGCAGCTTTTTGACAAGAGTCCATTCTTACGCCAACATTAAGCTTACTGATCTTGCCAGGGCCTGCCTTCCCTCTGCAGATAACCCCAAGGACAAACAGAGCACCACAATTTATACCAGCGGCCTGACTGGACACACAGCTGAGTCTGCAGAAAGGCTGCTCTTAACTGTTACGGGATCAGAGTGCTAAGAATTTTGCAAAAAAAGTTTGAAAGAGAAAGATGCAAACTTTGCAAGCATTTCCAGTGCAGACATTAGAATGACTCACTTTCCTAAAAGACTGGTAGCAGGAAGGAAAAACAAAACATGGAAGAACGTATTTTGGTTAGGCACAAAAGGGGAAAGATGCTTCAAAAATGTAAAGTTCTGTGAAAGGTGTACTGCAAGGGGCTGTTTTCACACATCTGTTCTGATGCTTGCTTTGCAGACTTCTCAGCGCTTGCCACTTCAGCTAATTTTAGAGAGGACAATTTTGTTCTAAATATGGGCGTGCTGTTGTTACCATCAGACACCTGAGCGCGGCTACACGCAGACAGAAAGTGACCACCTTCCGCCGTCCGAAGCCACAGACGGGACTAAAGCACGCCACCGCATCCTGGTCCAGGCTTCTCCGACGACTCCCAGTTACCGACAAAGCCCAGAAACAGCTAGCAGAGAACAAGCAGGTGAACCCGAGAGAGGGCGAGCGCCCGACTTCCGCAAAAGCGATCGGAAGGCAGATCAAGAATTGTAACCGGGCCCCATCTTCAGCTCCTTGAAGCCTCCAGCCTTCAGCTCCTTGCAGCCTCCAGCCTCAGCCTCCCTCCGGGGACAGAGGAGCAGGACAAGGCCCTCCTGCCACTCCTCACTCCCGGGCTCAGCCGCCTGCGTGCGGCCGCTGCTCCTGTCGGGGGGGGGCGTTCACGTCTTTGGGGAGGGGGATGAATAAAGAAAAGGGAGGGGGCAAGATAAGGAGAGAGATTATGGTTGAACAGGCTTTGTGGTGTGCAGGGGCGGGGAAAAGACCATCGTGAAGCGGGAGGGGCTCCGATCCCACAAACAGCGGGAGCCACATGATGGCCCGCCCCGGGCCCCGGCACGGGGCTTGGCGGGGGGGGAAGGCCAAGGCAGAGGTCCCTCGGCTGCCGAGGGGCGCAAGGAGACGGGGCAGGCATACCTCCGCCCCCCCCCGGGAGCCTCTC